AGAATAAATATTTGTTATTAAGTACCTGTTTGAGCAGATAACCGACGTAGTGATTTGGTTGGACTAGCTCGTAAGCGGTTTTCAACATCTTCCAAGACTTCCTCTGTAAGAATAGACTTTCTGCCTGGAGATTTTCCTCTACAAACACTTCCAGTGTTATGGAAGCGTTCCACTAATCTCTTCACGTGTCTCGAAAAAATTTCATAATCAATTTCATCATTTGGAAATTGTTCTTGAAATTGTAAATGACACGAATTCATCGAATATTTCCAACCATTACCATTGTTTTGTCCACTACGAAAATAGGCCTCCAGAAGAAATTTATCATGTCCTAATGAAAATGCCATGTTAACCTAAATTAAAAACAGATTAGGTTAGAGAACATACGCAATAAATTAATTACTCACGTATAATATCCACCTACTCTAACTGTAGTATTGAAAAATACTGTTTTATAATGTCGCAAAATATATCAGGTAACAACAAAATCTACAAAATAATATTCAAGCCAAAAAATCCGTGCGCCAATGAACAGAACGTCAAATTGTGAAATCGCCACAGAACACCATGAAATTGCACGGAAAAAAAGAAATTTTAGCAAACGGAAATCAGTTTTGATAGCAATTGAGACAGGGTACGTTTAGAATCCGGTCAATCATTCTCGATCTCTCTGTATAAGATCATTGCTCTGGTTACTCTATCATTTGTGCTGGAGCAAAGGGAGTAGAGCAACTAGAGCAATCATCAATCATCAGATTTTGTTTTTATTGGTTGATGAACCTGACGTATCTATCTCTATATAGACTATCTCTTTTTAAGAAAAGTCCATATTATGCGTGTAGCACAGTCTACAACAAATTGCCGCAACAAATAAAAAATATAACTTGTCTCACTAAATTTAGAAAGGAATTTTTGGAGTTCCTTTATGACAAAAGTTTTTATTCCCTAAATGAATTTTTAGACGCGCGCTACTGATTTGTACTGTCTGACCGTTTATATGTGTATATATGTGTGTATATATGTATATGAATATGTATATATGTGTATATATATATAATGTATTATAAGTCTCGATCCATTCTATGTATGTAAAATTGTATTTTTAACATTTTAACTTGTTTGTTTGAAATCTACTTTTTATGTAATTTTCTGTAAATCAAATTTTATCTACCTGTGACGTTTCGTACCCTGTATGGCATACACGAAATAAAGTTATTATTATTATTATTATTATTATTATTATTATTATTATGCCGGTCAGCATGGGAATGCACTGCCTATTACTTAAGGCACATGACAAAATGTTTGACATATTCACAATCTTCGTCTAAACATACATTTTCCAATCCATTTTCTCCTTCTTCCACTAATAATTATATGAAATTTTTATGATAGGACTCCTTTATCGATGAACACAGGCAAATTACTTCAAGATCTCACTGCTCTACTTTGTGATCTAAAAGGCTCTAGTGACGTCACTGCTCCGTATTCTTCACGATCCAAGATCTCTTGGAGCCACTAGGAGTAGCGTCTAACGAACAGGGCTTTTATACAACTGATCTTGATAGCAACCTACATTACTGTCCCATTCCTTGTGTCTGCTTGACGTAATCCAACTCAATCGGAGTATTTTATCGGTGTTCGTTGAAGCCGAACACAAAATCTATGTTGTTCGTTACGCAGGAGTATTCCACTCTGATCAATAAGATCATTGCTCTGCTTACTCTGTAATTTGTGCTGGAGCAAAGGGAGTAGAGTAATCAGCCGATTTAATTTTTTTTGGTTGATACATCTAACCTATGCCGGTAAACATGGGAATGCACTGCCTACTTAAGGCACATGACAAAATGTTTATGACATATTCACTTCAATCTTCGTCTAAACGTGTTGATACATTTTCCAATTCATTTTTTCCTTCTTCCACTAGTAATTCCCTTTATTCATGGTGGATAACAAATTTGTTTTTTGTATACCAAACATAAGAAAAACTGCTAAAATACCCTAGATAAAGTAAACTTAAAACACCACGTACACGGTCCGTAAAAAAGACTCTACTGACCGTGACAGTCGTGACACACGTATACAACAAATCAAAGCATAGGTTATCATAGAAAATTTTTATGATGTGTTATGGTTATGTTCAAGTCGTCTTAAAGAACACGAGCAAATTACTCCAAGATCTGACTGCTCTACTTTGTGATTTAAATGGATCTGGTGACGTCACTGCTCCACACCCTTCATGATCCAAGATCTCTTAGAGCCACTAGGAGTAGTATCTAACGAACAGGGCTTTTTATAGGTAGTATGTATGTTCAAAATTTAGGGCGTAAACGTAATTCGACACGGTAGATACGTAATTTTCATTGTATTTATAGTTTATACTTTAATTATAAATACAGTATTGCATTTGAGTATAACAGACACATTCCGACATTTTTTTAAGGACTTTGGTAAATAGGTAATGGATATCGCTTGGAGTTCAGTTCCTAGCGGGCAGCCGACCAGAGAACACGTGTTTTGTGAAAGTGTTGTGCAAGGAGCAATTTCTACCTGCCTTTATTAAGGCTACCTGGAAAGAATCCCTTTCTTTCCTTTTAATCACCGACCTAATCCCCGGCTTAAGCATAGACGCCGTCGGCATCTTTGTTACAGCACCTGTGCCGGGGTTATGCCCAGGTAAGTTTTTACTTATTTATCAGTTATTTGCATTACTTTAGAATACATTTCTTTAAAATTGCGACCCCCGACAAACAATATACCAGACAGACAAATACACCAAAAGACACGTACGCCCCCGTGAGGGGGCATCCCCACACGACTAACACTTACACACCTTCCCAC